AAATAAAGAAAATTTTGTTTTAAAGTATAATGCAATACTGTACAGTAGTAATGGTTTATTGTCATGAATCACCCACTTCCATGATGGAAAATTTGATCCGCCAAGTGCCAAAAGTGTTTTGAGATTAGGATTGCTGTGGGGAAAAAGGACAAAAGAAAGATTGTTAGAACACCAATCTAATAATAGTAACAACAATAATAGTAATAACAATAATAATACTAATAATATTAACTCACATCAATTTCAGGTCACTTAGATCGTTGTAGTAACTTGTGTCCTGAGTGCTTTCATACGTCAGCTCGTTGTTCTCCATGTTGGCAAAGGCAAAGACCAGATGAGTGCAGAGATTTGCATCAAGATTGTCACTGATAAATTGTCCTTCACCATTTCTGTACTGGGACCAGCTGGTGACGTAGCACATCAGAACAGAGGAAGAAGCTGAAAGGTGGAAACCAGAAGATGCAGACCGTATAAGAAAGAGAGAGAGAGAGAGTAACAAAAGATGTAAAAGGAAATAAATCAACGTAATAATGAAATAGTTATTACAAGTATAGCTATCATCATTATCATCATCTCCACATTTGTCACCCTTCTGCCAGCTTTTACTTCCTGTTTACCAGTGCACCAGCTGCCACATTCCCAAGATTTCCTTGACCAAATGTCAAGCTAATATATATATATATAAATATATATATGTGTATTATTTTTCTTTAGGCTATCTATACATTTTTATCCTTAAAGGCACGATCACATTGATATTGGTAGTAAGAAGTTGAAATGCCTAAAATAGCATAATGACCACTGCCTTTGTCTTGCAGAAATTTTTAACACTTAAACTCTCAGGTGTTGTGGTGGCAGCATGGGTGGTGCTGGGACCAGTAGTGGTGGTGGTTGTACCAGTGTTGTCAGCTGCGGTGGCTTGTCAGCTGCGGTGGTGGTGGTTTGACCAGTGTTGTCAGCTGCGGTGGTGGTGGTTTGACCAGTGTTGTCAGCTGCGGTGGTGGTGGTTTGACCAGTGTTGTCAGCTGCGGTGGTGGTGGTGGTGGAGGACTCTGAATCTGAAATGGTAGTATTAGATTATTTTCCACCATTATCTGCTGTTAACACAAGAATTTCTCAAATATGGGCTCAATAAAGTTCAAATGATTAATATTGTTATTTTTAGTCACTGCTCAAAAGCCAATTTAACCAATAACTATATTTCTAGGCTCTTTTTTAGTCTTTTACTTCACACTTCATCCACTTTACCAGACTTTTATACCTAATATTTGTGAGTGTATTATTGGTTATTTATATTTCACCTGCCTATAATAAGGTGTAAAAACTAGCAGCAATAGTACAATGGAAAAACAGGGCAAATATTGCTGTCTGGATAAAAGTGTAGTGGTGTAAGGAAACATATAAAAGCAGTAGAATAGGACAATAACTGCTTACCAGTCACTAGCAGCTTATGCAAACGAGTGGTAAGGGGGTAAGGACCCTGATTACAGAATTCTCCTCTAAAATCATCCAGGTCCATTGCCCAGACAGCAGCTCCTCCATAGTTGTAGGTTTTAATAACGTTTGCCTAATTATAATGAATGTGAAACAAAGAAAAACAACTTATTATTTTTGTTTTGTGCGAGATATTTTCTGACGGTGATTAGTAATTCACCTTTGCTTCAACACTATCCGGGTTGTCAAATCCCACCCATGTAGTTCCTGCGGAGCCATATGGAACCTCCTGTCCTTCGGACCAGTGGCGGTCTTGTAGTGGAACATTGTAACAAACCTAAAAACAGACAAAAAGCACCAGGATTTCAGTGGAATGCACCTGAGATCGTAAATGTTAGTGAGCTTTAATATTCACCTCGTAGTAGGACCAGAAGCCTCCTTCACCAGTGTAAAGACCTGGTTCACCCACACCACTGGTAGGTGCTGCAACCCCATTATTGGTCGCTGAGGTCAAGGTGAAGGTTCGTCCGTAGGCAGCGATTCCCATCAGCAGCTTTTCAGCAGGTGCTCCACTGTCTCTCCAGGTGCTCATTGAATAATTCTTAAAGGTGGAGAAAAAAATATTTGGGCAACACTTTCCATGTCTTTATGCTCCTTCTCAAACAGCATAATATTATTGATCAAACTTTCT